TGCGCCCCCGTCTGGCCGCTTCCCCTCCTGGGATCCAGCTGCGCTGGGGAAGCGCCGGCCGGGGGGGCAGGGTCTGGGGGCTGCCCAGCAAACCGTGAAGCCAGTAGCGCTTGGGCTTCAGGCAGCCCCTATGCCTCCGGACCCTGCGCCGCCGGAGCCCGGGAGGGGAAGTGCCCGGCCGGGGGCGCAGGGTCTGGAGGCTGCCCGGCAAACCGTGAAGCCGGTAGCGCTTGGGCTTCAGGCAGCCCCTATGCCTCCGGGACCCTGCGCCCCCGGCCGGGCACTTCCCCTCCCGGGCTCCGGCGGCGCAGGGTCCGGAGGCATGGGGGCTGCCCAAAGCCCGTAGTGCTCGGCTCTTAAACAGAGCCGAAGAGTCAGGGGAGGAGCAGAGCAGCCGCGGGAGGGGAAGTGCCCGGCCGGCATTTTCCCGGACATGTTCGGCTTTTTGGCAATTCCTCCCGGACGGGGGTTTGATTGCTGAAAAGCCGGACATGTCCGGGAAAAACCGGACGTATGGTAACCCTAATCCTGTGTATTTTCTGGTTGCAGTATATTGCACTGTGGTTTACATTTAACAAGGGGGAAAGGAATAGACCATGCTGCATATATACCATATGACTGACTTAACGTTACCAAAGCAACTTCAGCTTTGGGAATTTCCTGACATTTGAGTGCTGGTTCTCATTCAAATGTCAGCATTACATCAATGATGGCGTTTTGTATTCCTTTAATCTTCATTTAGTTTCCTCCACCAGTTTTTGTTTTTTCAGGAACAAATAAAAAAAGTAACTAGAGAAGTTTTTAAAGGTAATCTCTTTGTTCTGGCTTTGCCAGAAGAGTTTGAAAGCTCTTTGAAAGCAGTGGTTTCCAAACTTTCAGAAACTGAGTCCCACCCTTCAGGGAAACTAAACCAACTGCACCTTCAGCTCTGCCATCTGTTGTTAAATGCATATTCAAAAACAGGGTGTCGCTCAGGTCTGGTCTACATTTAGGGCTAGATCAACATAACTACATCTGCCAGGCGTGCGAAAAAACCCAAAACCAAACCAAACACTCCTGAGCACTGTAGCGATGCCAACCTAACCCCAGGGTAAATGTGCTACGTTGATAGAGGAGTTGACGTAGTCGCCATCGCTCAGGGAGGTGGTGTTCCGACACTAATGGAAAAACTCATTGTGTCCGTGTAGGCTGCATCCACAATATAGGGTTATGCCGCTGTAGCTACAGGGACATAGCTATGCTAGTGTGGTCTCCTTAGCTTAGACATACCCTTACAGTAGATCAGAATAGATTGTGTACATCTTCTCATTAGAACACTCTCTCTCCTGTCTTAGATGCTTTGAGTGGTGAAATCGTTAACAATGGTGACCAAATTTAAAGGATCATTATTGGTGCCTGAGTTGTACCCAGTCAAGTGAATGAGGCAGTTAACACCTCCAAGCTCTTGTTTCAGGCTTTTTGCAAACATCTCTTCATCAGTTACGCCTGGATCACATTTTCAAGGTTTTCTTCATAATCAGAACAGCTAGACTACTTTTTTTTTTTTAATTAATGCTAAAGTTTCTGGGAAACAACTGAGAGGCCTATTTGTGCTTCCCCGCCTAGTTCTTCATGCCAGCCCCAGGGGCATACCGCCCACTCTGGGAAACGTCACTTAAATGAGCTAGCTGTGTACAAGCCACGCAACTCTAGGCCAAAGAAAAATGTTCTACGCTCCATGAATTCTTTGGTGGTGAAAGATGATGGGCTGACAGCCCTGGAGACTGAAGTCTTTTATTCACAGAACATCTACCACGCAGGCTGTGATGGTGCACGTTTCCCCACTCTACCCCACAACATGCCTCAATGTGTTCTGGAACAATCACTTTTAGCAGAGAAAGGGGTTGGTTAATCTCACGCAGTCCTGGGTTTCTCTGAGAATTCCAGCCTGGGTGCCAATTGCCTTCTATTCTGATGATGGTTTAGAGTGCTGAGCTCCTGTTCTCAGGTATCAAATGGAGAACAACTATCACCTGCTGTTGGTCCAACAGCCATCAGAAAGTAACAACTTTTGGCCTAGCTGTGTTTTCATTGGTGACAGAGGTGAAAAACTCCCTATCACATGACCTGAACTATCCGTTCCTTCTTCAGTGAATTATCCTTGGAGTCTAGTTTCTTTCTTTTTTTCAGATATTCTGCATGTCCATTACTAAGGTATATGAGGGGGTGGTGTGGGAAGTGAGGAAAATGGCACCAGGAGTCTCTCCCCTTGTGTGTGGTCTATATAAAGGCACAAGCTGAATTGTAGTCCCTGTGCTCAGGGAAGCGCAGGAACTGCTCCCTGCCTATTCCCCTGTGGGTGCATGGCCCCTCAGACAGAAGGAGCCAGTGGGATCATGGCTTTGCCTTGCTCCACGTTGGCCAGTAGACCTGGCCAGCTGCACAGTCCATAAAGGAGCACAGCAGCAAGCACACTTCATCGGCGCACCTAGGATCTCCCCCTGGGACAGTACTGCACTGCACTATCCCCAATGCAGTACTTTCCCATCTAATACAGTGGTGTCTACAGACATTATTAAAGGCATGGAATAGTACTTACCTTCATACTGACTATCGCTACCCGGAGATTTGTTCCACCTAGATCCACAGCCAAGGCACTCTGAGTTTCTAGGATATGGTCAATATCTTGTGAGATGTTCTCCTTTACAGGAGGGAAGCAGAACTTCTTCTGCAGTGGCTCTTTGAGGTCAATAGATTTGAGGAACTTCAGAATTCTTGGGACAGCATTACCATCCCCATATATTTTTGAGCTGTAATATAAAAAAGCACCAATTATAGTGTAAATAAAACAGCAAGTCTGTACAGCACTTATAAAATAGAAGGCCACAATATTTCACATCTCAAAGGTTATTAATAAACTATAACATGTTATCTGCCATGATAATAATGCATTTCAAATCTCTGTGAGTGTGCAACAGGATGTGTTGGATGCTTTAGCAATCTGGAATGGGTTAAGGGCTATCCAGCTACAGGTAGCACAAGGGTGGAATTACCATCATTTTTTGCCCTGGGCTCTCATTTAACCATGTTCCGTGAGGTTACAGCATTATTTGTTTTTTTCGTAAAGAATTCTAGACGTTGACACTGAATCCTAGACATCAAGCATCCTAGAGTGGGGAGCTAACCTTGGATAAATGTGGTGAAGTCTATTCTCCACCCCAGTACTCACTAAGGGACTTTTCTCTGGTCCCCTGAAGAGTAGTGGGCGGATATATGTACTTACCAAGGATACTGTTGTCCAAACTGGAGATGCAAAGCTTGTAGTATTTTGTCCTGTGTGTCAGCATCACGAACATGAAGAACATTTTCGCCTAGATAATCAAAAATGCAATGTCATTCTAGTGCATGCCAGCTACTTGATAAATAATGGGGGGGAGGGGGAAGAGGGGAAGAGAACGGAGAACAGAATTTGAAATGAACAAGCAATTACTTGTGTGTCCTGGCAAAATGTGTTAAGGCCTCACACCTACTCAAAAGGAACATGACCTATGTGCACATAGTGCCCCTACTTCTGTATGTGTCATCTTCTTACATGCAGATGCTACGCTGACATTGCTCTGTTAGGACCTGCTCCCACTGAAATCAATAGCAACATTGTCATGATACAGTATCCTCCCTGCGAAGCACTTAGAGAACAGAATTCTTATTAACTCCAGTGTAATTCCCACATATAAGAACAACACAGAGAAGAACAGGAGGGTAAACTGTTATTCAAGTCTTATCTGAGGCACCTGTGTGATTGTGAAAAAAAAACTATACATTTGCTTTTTATACCTGCTGCTGGTTGTGGTGTATGTGTATATTAAAATTGCAGGATCATTCCAGAGTGCATAGTTTTATGCCTGTCACATGTACCTACACCCATAAAGAAAACATGTGCAGTGGTTTATTCGGGCAGGTGGAAGCCACTGTATATATTTATTTTAGTTGGACTATAGATAAAAGGCTTTTCTACAAAAATCATCAGGACAGAAGGAACAGATCAATGAAGTTATTCGGATAGGTCAAAATGTTCCTGCTGTGATAAGGTCCATTAAAAATAAAACTGACATGCTTGTTAAACTCTGACTTTACCTCTGTAATGATGCAAGCACATGACCATACCCAACACCCAGGAAGTTAATTTAGCAGAGAACTTAGCAGCAAACACATACCTGTTTCTCTTCCTATTTGACGTGTTCCCAGATTGATGACAGGAGTTCCAAACGCTCCCACCTCTCGAACACCACAGCTGCTGTTACCAATCACACAGCCAGCATGTGCCACTAACTGGATGAACTGCTCAAACGGAACATGCTTTACTGCTCGAAAATTGGGATGATGCTCAATGCCCTTCTTCCTCATCACCCGAACCATCTCTTTGCTTCCTATGGAAAAAGCCAACAATTGAGAACAAAATGTTAACTGATAGTTGAATTTTCACTGTGGCTACTGAAGGGGCCACTGTATACATTGTAATGACATGTTAGTTGCTGTCATTGATGCTAACACAGAAGTACTGTGAAAACAGCCGGACTGGTATGCCTAGGACTGCCCCCACCAGGTCTGTGTACGTGTTCCCAACCACTTTTTGCTCACCCGCCCTCCACAGGACTCTTCACAGCTGTGTCATTGAGCATAGGGTTCCAGCTGTGAGTCTGAGCTCCAACTATTCTTCATTACTATTATATTTTTAAACATTTTAGAGCCCGTGAGCAAGCAGAATAGCTTGTCTGTCACCCCAAAATTGCAATGCTTTCCCTTCATCTTCCTCAGAAGATTGAAGGGTGAAGATGATCCTGCATTCAGCACACAGTTCCAGTGAGTTCAAACATTATACCTAGATCACTAAGCAACCTCCATGTGGGTAGATGAAGTAGCACAAGTGAAGATGCAGAGAGGAAAGAGGAAGTCAGATGGGAGGGCTGCAATGAACAAGGATGGAAGCAGGTGGATTAAGAGGTCTATGAGTGAGACAGAGGGTGAAGTGACACCATGGAGAGTTCTGAAAATCTGGAGGGCAATTCTTCACCAGTTTAAAACAAAAACCAAACCACTTATACAAAGTACCTGTTTCACTCACCTGCATCGATGTTTGGGAACAGAACTAGCGTCCTTTTGTTAAAGGAGATGAGTGCATCCAACGTTAGTTCAAACATCTTTATGGAATGTTTAATATCCGTGGTCACAGGGTGCTGCAGAGCGACTATATAATCTCTTGGTTTTACATCTTCACCTGTTTAAAGGGAGCCCAAAAGAGACTGTTTTATTAGCAGCGTTGTGGTTGTGGTGGGAGAATGATTCTGAAGCCACTGAAACAAAAACCTCCCCAAGTTCTAGACAGCAAATCTGATTTCTAGCACAATGAGTTCCAATACTACAAGAGATCATAAAGGAGTGACAGGAGAATATGGGTTTGAAGTTTACCACTGTAAGTAAGACTCTGAACAATTGCTATTGTCTAAGGCTACAGCAGAGTCAACTGCAGTACTGGGTCCTAAAACTTTATAAGAGTACTTTGAGTGCAGACCAAGGCCCCTAGTTACACCAGCATAAAACTGGATTAACTCAGTTGAAGCCAATTAACGTATTCTGGATTTACACTATTGTAAATGAGAGCAGAATTTAACCCTGAGGCTGTGGCACAACAGCAAACAGGCAGATCGGATTGAGATTTTCATTGTGATCATGTATTCCTTTCAATCCATTAGTCTATTCAGGTTTCCTGAGAGTCTTCTGTGCCTTAAGGGATGGATTTTTCACCATTTGCTTAAAAGAAATGAGAGAGTGACCACCATAAATACTTCACTTGTTATAAAGAGTAGCAGGTTCATTTTACTTTATTCTGAAAATGACTAAACTACTGAACTAACAAGAACCCAGTTCCCAATTGACAGGGGCTGAAGAATTTTTCCTGTCAAACACCAACAAGATATGCTGATTTATATGGAATGAACTGAAAGTAAACGGATGACATACAACACAAGTCTCTGAAATATATCATGCTACTGTATTGTACTGTGCAGGAAACAATGTACAGCATGTAAATTCCCTTGATTTTCTGCAAATTAGCTCCATGCACAATCTCTAACATTATTAGGTCAGACCTGCTCCCAGCTGTTTGGTTATAAAGGATATGAACAAGGTTCTGAACCTCTGTGTATCAAAGAAATAGCTCTGAGTTCTAATTTATTTTTTAACAAAGAACTCAGCAAATTTGACTCTTGTTTTTTGACTCAGCAATAGGGTTTTAGATATTAAAGACAATCTCTGACTACACTTTTTTTGGTCATGTAGGGTTACTTTCTCCTGACTAAAAATACGAGAACGGAAATTATAGAAATGAAGGAGTTTCTTGAAGAAACCAACACAGTCAAAATGTGACATTTGGGTCTCTAGAGAGGAAGGGGCCCCTGAATATTTAAGCATTACATCTGATATTTGATGGGATGTAATTATGTTAAATAATATGTGAGGTTGGAGCCTCTATTTCTCTGTCTTCCAGGCTACAGACCAATTGGCCTTGTTATTAATCTTGCCCTGGAAACAGACTATTGTGGTATGATAACATTTGAAAGTTTTATGTTGTTTTTCCTCCTTTTGGTTTACCAAAAGTTTTTGTTCTCAAAATAATAGGCACATTTCCTTAAAGTGTGAAAGGCAGAGGACATGGATATTTTGCTTTCAAAAGAGCAGGGGAAAAGACATAGGGAATAACATTCTATTGAAAAACAGCATATTAAGGTTTTCAGTTACGTCTGTGTTTGCTGGGTCTATATGTATTTCTGTGGTGGGAGATAGAGTAGGGTTACCATATTTCAACAAGCAAAAAAGAGGACGGGAGGAGCCCCGCCCTAGCCCCGCCCCTGCCCCTCCCACTTCCCGCCCCCCCAGAACCCCCAACCCTCCCCCCGTTCCTTGTCCTC